CTCCCTTTACTTCCCTCCTCAACCGTCAAAAAAGGGGCAGGCGGGGAGTTACTATGCGACGATACAGGCACTTATCAGGTGGTGGAACGACGTTCTCAACTCCCTCCCGTCCCGCACGCTCCCCATTTTCTACTCGGACCTCAATGACGGGATGGGGCTGTCGAAGATTGCGGGGCAGTGGGAGGAGGTCGTGTCGTCGGCGATTGGGAAGACAAGAGGACGGGAACAGCGACGACGAGGAGCAGGGGAGGAGGTTAGGAAGCTGCTGGACCAGCACGGCATGTGCGCACCTGCCACGTTTCGTGCACGTGAGTACACTTACTTCTCCTGCACGAACCCGTCCAGACCGTCGATGATTGACTACCTGTACTTGCCTCAGGGGTACCATGAAAGGGTTATCCACTGCCACACTCTCCGCACACTAGGCGCGCAAGTTCAGGCAGTACGGGGCCTTCCCCCACGAGACCACGTTCCATTGTACCTGGAAGTGCAGTATGTAAAAGACCCTCGACAGCTACCCCCCCCTGCGGAGCCTCGGATGAACACGTCGGCTCTGATGATGGCTGTTAGATACGGGCACGGCAAGGCCGCCTTCCTTCGTGACCTGGCGGCAGAATTGGAGTCCAACGAGGAACAGTTGTTAGAGCTTACGCACACGGGGGCCCCAGATCAGGTGTTCGAGGCGTACGAGCGCACGTTTACCACCGTTGGCCTTCGTCACTTCCAGAGAGCACCATTGGCCCCCCATTCGGACGATTGCGAGCGTCGCAGGGAGCTTCTGAAGATAAGGAGGGACATGAAGGCCAGCAAGGAGGGGAAGTCGGAGGAGGAGGTGGAGGAGATCGAGAGGAAATTACGGCGGCTCTCGAACACTCTCAAGAGTGAACGGCGGAAGTCGGCGAAGCTGGATAGGGACCTCAAGATTGAACTCATCGAGGAAGCCTGGCGGGAGCGGCGGATGGCAGACGCTATGCAATTATCCAGAAAGGCAGCCAAGTGTAGGTTCGGTGCGAAGCAGAGGGACGGACGACGACTTGGGCCCGCTCTCTTGGATGCTCAGGAATGGGAGGAGTACATGTCACGAGCTGGGGGACAGGGAGGGATGGCCACACATACTATATCTTGGGACACGTGGCGTGCACAACGAGATAACCTTGTACCCCCAGTAGTCTCTGTTGCAGACGAAAGCTCGCTTGCCGATCTAGCCGCCGAAGACTATGCAGCTATCAGGAAGTACTGCAGAAAAGGAGGCAAGCGACGAGTGGTCCCACCTGGCACGGCACCGTTAGAGCTCTGGGACATGTTCCTTACACCTCTGGGAAAGCATAAGCACCATCACGGAGTTGGCTATTCTGACCCGATCCCATGCCTTAAATCTTGTCAACACGTCTTCCACCAAGCCTTATTACAGATACGGCGCTGTGATCTTACACCTCTTTATTGGCACAGAAGTAGGGGCATCGGACTGTACAAGAACGACATGTTAGGCCCGAAGGGGCGCCGGCTCATCCACACGTTGCCCGCGGTGGGCAAGGCATGGTATGCTAAACGTCTGCCCTTGGTTCTACCCCCACAAGATCACGGCTTTGCCCGTCACAGGAGGAGGGAGGACGCGATTATGAGCATCATGGCTATGAGTTACCGCCTCAGGCAGGCGGGATGGTCGTATGCCATTAGTATGAAGGACATGTCTAATGCTTTCGGAAGTACCCAGTGGGACGCTCTCGACACCGTCATCCAGGAGCACGTCCCCCCCCAAGATTGGAACTTGTGCAGGCAGCGCTACCGGTTATCTACTATGGAGATTGAGACGACCACCGAGCCGATCCTGTTAAAGACGGGCTGTGGGGGAGTCATGGGTGACCCGTTTAATGTACAAGGATTTGCAGGCGCCTTTAGGAAACCAGTGGAGGATTGGGCCGAACAAGTCCGAGAACGCATCCCCAGCACTAACCTGTTACAGTCGTCATGGGCGGGGGGAATTGTGGACATGTCGTACCAAAAGTATGCCGACGACCTCCTTCGTATAGTACCATTACCTATCGGCGACACCATGATAGATGTTATTGCAGACCTTAGGACCATCGATCGGATTCTTGATCACACCTTGGAACCAGCAGGTTATGTTCAGAATCGTTCTAAACAGGTCACTAGTTTTTATATTGCGGGTGCAGGAGCAGCAGCGTGTAAACGGTTTTTGAGGGAGCAAGGTGTGAAGGAGGGTAGGCTGGAGGGCACCGTGTCGGACGTGGCGAGATACCTGGGACCAGTTATCACCCCCCTGCAGCAGTCCTCCCCCGAGATCGAGCGCCGCATCGCAGCATCGTCAGCAGGCTTCTACAGTATGGGGGCCTTTTGGTCATTGAACATACCTCGGAAGTGGAAGCGGGTGATCTTTACAGGTCTTGTCCAAGGCTCTCTGCTTACAGGAATGGAACCCTTCATACTCACGGATAAGCAGACGCAACTTCTCGACAGACATCTAGCACGATTGGGTCGTACAGCGATGGTTGGGGGGGCGTGCACGCACGATGAGGATCATATTCGTTCCCTCACAACACGGGAGGTCTTGGATTATTGGGAGCTCTCGGATTGTAAGACGGAGTTACTTTGTAGGCGCTTGCGTTGGTATCAGTCGTGGTCAGCACACCCTGAGTCACATGTACAAGTACTCCTGGCACTCTTTGGAGGCGACATGCCATTCGAGGACCCTCTCAGATGGCCGTGTGCAGTTACAGGTTTAACGGAATGGGCCTCCCCCTGGGCACGCAGAGTCGGCACGGATATGGGGGAGGCGATGCGCGCCTGCCCCGACGCAGAGGAGCTTCTCTCGAGAGTGTCGGAGTCCCCCTGGTTGCTTTTCGAAGATGAGGAGGTGATGATGGACCTTCAGAAGGTGGATTTCACTAGGGTACGAAGTAGGACGCACACATACGAGGTCCCTCCGTGGTATCATAACGACGAGCTTCCAGGTCCCCAAGGAGGAAGTCAAGAAGATGAGGAGGAGGGGCTACCTTACGTTTGCAACTTGGAGGTTGAGGACGGGGAGGGCCACAAACAGGGATGTGGGTGTCGGTTTGCAACGCAAAAAGGATATATGGAACACCTTAGACATAGACATAAAGTACGAAACCTCAGCCACGTCCTGACCACGTCGAACGAGTGCCCCGTTTGCTTGCAGGTCTTCAGAAATCGCACTATGGCGGCTCGTCACTTGCAGGCGGCGCTCGCTCGAGGGTATTGCGGCAACTATGCGCCCCGAAGTATGGTCCCCCTGGTTGAGTCGAGCTCTTACAGCTGCCAGATATGCGAGTTTCAGGGCCGAAGCCACGAGGATCTACGTAGCCATATTCGGGCTCACCTTCCATGGCCAGTCGCGGCACTGCGACCTGACTCACGCGCTCGATCTACGCAGACACCTCGGCCCTCCTCGTCCCGAGCTGCGGATGGCGGCGGCCGCGGCCGCGGAGCAGCCCTCGGACATCGCAATGCCCTCTTTCATGAAACGTGCTGGTGCGGACCTATCATCGGTGGAGAAGGTACGCAAGACAGCGGACGGGGGCGGCGGGGGCGGACCACCAGGCGGTGGAGGGGGTGGCGGCAGTGGTGGCGGGGACGGCGGCAGGGACTTGAGGCAGACGGTGCGCAAGATGGCTCGGCTCACCCTCTCGCACGCGCGACAGTTGGCCTTTCTCGAGGCGGCGGTCTACCTGTCGTTCATGCTGCCAGAGAAGAGCGACGACGACCTCGGCTCGGCCATGAAGGCCCAGGGCGTCGTGTACGACAACGAGAGCAAGGCGCTCAAGGAACAGCAGAAGGCCGGCCAGAGCGTGGACTTCAAGCTCCGCGGGCCCCCGCACGTCCACCTGTTCATCGCCCTGCTCAAGAAGATTCTGAGTTTGACGGCAGGGGGAGGCCACCTCGAGGACAAGAAGACGTACACAATCATCCGAGAATTCTGGGAGTCCACGATCCTCGTCAAAGAGGTGAGCCAGATTGCAGAGTTGATCCTTCATTGTCGGTACAAGAAGGCCAGGAGCGACGCAGAGGAGAAGTTCGGGGTGATTTGCATGGCGATCGAGAGACGATCGGCGGAGATGGTGATAGTATTCGAGGCGGTGTGCTCGTTCATGGTCCTGAAGGGCGGAGCCAAGAAGCTGACGGGGCCAGCGCCGCGCGGGCCCCTCGAGAGGGACCTGGGGAACTTTGTAGGGGCCAAGGGCGGGGGCAAGGGCCAGCAGTGAATCCTTTCGTAGGCAGCCAGCGATTGATTGAGTTGATTGCCAGAGGTGCTGTGCCCAGTGACATCCTCTCACGTCGTGAGGGGCGAAATTGGACCAAGCAGCGGGACACCGCAGCTGCGCAACAGGAGACCGTTGCTACAGCAGCCGCCCCGCCTACCGTCGCTCCCGGCCAGGAGACTGAACAGAGTGGGCAGGCTGTCTCGCACACGTATGCCTCGTCATCCTTGCCCCCCATCCCTGTTGTCATTCTCCCCTCCTCTGTGCCGAAAGGGAAGGGTAGGGGCCGAGGCAGGCGTACAGACACTGCTGCCCCTGCCGACGCAGCTGGAGGCCCCGCGGCTGCCGCGGCTGTTGGCCGTGCAGGCCGTGGACGCGGCTGGAGGGCCCGCGATCGCAGGGAGGGTGGGGTTGTGCGGACGGGGTCGGAGGCGGGTGCGGGGAGGGAGGACGATCAGTCAGTCGGTCCCCGATGAGTGGCACCCGACCCTCCAGGCTGCGCGCCATCGGAGGGGGGCCGCCACTCGGGGCTGCGCGGCTGTGTGGCCGACTGGCCATAGGTCGCATTCATATCATACAGGCGACAGTCGGTTAAATTCCGACGCTCAGAGGCAATCCAGTTGTTTGGACGAACTTGATGGCCCTCCCAGAGCTTTCTATTCTATTCTATTCTCTCGATCCTCGATAGCCCCCCCCTCGAGCTGGAGAGCGGCGCCCCAAGACAGAGCGGCGGGGCTGGGAGGGAGCCCGTGCGCCGGCAGGACGCGCACGCGGTGCAGAGCAGCACGATGGCGGCGATCAGGAGCGCCGTGAAGGCCCGCGCTCCGCGCGAAGCCCTGCGATCCGGGCGCCTCCTCCTCCTCCTCCTCCTCCTCCTCCTCCTCCTCCTCCTCCTTCTCCTCCTCCTCCTCCTCCTCCTACCTCCTCCTACCTCCTCCTCCTCCTTTTCCTCCTCCTCCTCCTCCTCCTCCTCCTCCTCCTCCTCCTCCTCCTCCTACCTCCTCCTACCTCCTCCTACCTCCTCCTCCTCGGCCTCCTCCTCCTCTCCCTCCTCCTCCTCCGCCTCCTCCGCCTCCTCCTCCTACCTTGGCGCTGCTCCCTGCCGAGAGCCGCCGCGCCCTTGGGGACGTCGAGCTGCGCGGGCAACCGCCCGAACGCCCGACCTGCGTTGTCGCCCAGGCGCAGGCCCCGAGACCCCGTGGAGGGCCTGCAGAAGGCTCCAGAACGGTGAAACATCGAAGGAGCCGTTTCCCTCAGGACCTCCCTTGAGATCCGGGCCTTGCAGTTGTCTCGCCCCAGGCGCTTTCGCCCAGGCTCGGGCCCCAGGACCCTCACGGATCGGTCCGGCTCGGAGAACGACGCAGAGAGGTGGGGTCCGGGTCTCTGGGCGTGATTTTTCGCGATGTTGCACTTTTTCGCAATGGCGGAGATCTCGGGGAGGTTCGGTTCGGTGCGGCTGTTCACGAGGGAAGGGTCGGGCCCTTTCTGCCCGGTGAGCGCTGGGCCCATGTGGGCCGGAGGGTCGAAGCCGCCTTTGCACCGGGCTCATCCTCACCTCAGGCGCACGAAGCCGAGGGGAAGGGACATTGGGAAAAACGAGTGAGGCTCCAGCGGCCACACCAAGAAAATACCAACGTACGCAAGGCACAACCTGTGATCAAGAGCCATCAACAAAGCAAGCGATAGACGTTTTTTCAAGACGGCGGGGGAGGATGGCAGCGACCACGAAGGAGACCTTGACATCCGACATTGCGGCAAAAGTCCAACATCTTGAAAAGCCGCGACCAGGGCCCCAGACCCCATCCGACCATGGGCGAAAACGCCCGGTGCGAGACTGAGGGCGATGATCATGATGGGACCCTTCTGGTGATGGCGACGGTGGTACGGATGATCCTAGCGTTTTTCGTGGCCATGGCCCCTGGACAGATGGCGGTTTCTCACAGTCCGGCAATCCTGGACATAATCACGACGCGCGTTTGCTTTGCGGACCTCATCCCAAGCGTCCTCGGCAACAGCGATTGCAACATCGTCTTGCGCAGGAGGACCTGCCCCCTGTGCCAGCGTTTCCGTGGAACGATGCGGCTCCCGAGGAACTGCTCCCAAGGAGCTTAGAGGTGGCGTTGCCGATCTTCCGGGTGAAGGGCGTGAGTCGTGCACAAAATTCTTCGATATGTTCGACTATTACCGGAGCGTCGACATGCAGACGTTGGACACCATCCCTTCCAATGCCAACGCGACAATTATTTGCTCTTCCGCAGACCAGGTCATGACCGTCGCCTTGGCCTATCAACGAAATGACGGCCACGTTCGGCAACCTGCACAATGCCATCTCCATGGCGACACGCGGCATCGATATTCCTAGCGATGACGGTCATGAAGCTGTTCTGGCAGATTTCCTCGTGGGGGATCTTCGTGGAGAGGCGCACGGTTCTGAGGCCCGTTCAGTGCTTCACATTGGGGTGCGCCATCAGTTGGGTTCGATACTTCCCTTAGCGCCGACGCGCGCTGAGGAGCGGCATGCACGGGCCCGCAAATTCCTTCGGCAATTCCAGCACTTGCTAGACGTATACGTCTAGTATCAATAGATCGATGCATGCAATTCCCGCCATTGCGCACTCCGTGCACGGTTTGGGCTATAGAGTGATAGTTCGACAAATATGTTGTAACGTTGCCTCCCCTGTTTAACGAACATTGGTCGCCTGAAACCTGACGGCCGCGTTGGCGGCGGAAATGCGAAGCCTCGGAGAGTGTGGGGCGCCTCAGGAGAGAGATAGAGAGACAAAACACAAAACGATTGCGCTGCTGATGATGATGCTGATGATAATGCTGATGATGATGATGATGATGCCGACGATGCTGGTGATGATGATGCTGATGCTGATGATGTTGATGCTGATGATAATGCTGATGCTGATGCTGGTGATGATGGGAAGATAATGATGCTGATGATGCTGATGATGGTGATGCTGCTGATGATGATGTTGTCATTTGGGATATGTGTGATGTTTGGGGTCGGCCTCTTTGGAGTGCTGGGCGGTCGGCCCCTGCCAGAGCTCGATAGGGGGCGACCGACCCCCGCCCTGCAGCGCGCTGCCCCCTCCCCTCCCCCTCGCCGCCCCGCGGCCGCGGCGTGGCCTCCCGCCGCCTGCGTCGGCGGCGTCGTCCCCCCGACGCCGGACCCCCCCACGACGGCAGGCCTGTCGCCATTGTCGGGCTCCTCCCCCCTTAGCGCAGGCCCCCCATCGGGTCAGGGAAAATCGCGACAGAAGGTTTGTCGCCATCGTCGGGCTCTTCCCCCCCAACCCATACCCCCCCCAAGTCAAGAAAAAATCACGACGGAAGGTTTGTCGTCATTGTCGTGCTGTTCCCCCCAACCCAGACCCACCCTGGAGTCATGAAAGAAATCACGACGGAAGGTTTGTCGCCATTGTCGGGCTCTTCCCCCATAGCGGAGGCCCCCCCTGGAGCCATGAATCATCACGACGGAAGTTTTGTCGCCATTGTCGGGCTCTTCCCTCTAACCCAGACTGCCCCTCGAGTAATGAAAGAATCACGACGGAAAGTTTGTCGCCATTGTCGGGCTCGTCCCCCCCAACGCAGGCCCCCTTGGAGTCATGAGTCATCACGATGGAAGGCTTGTCGCTATTGTCGCGCTCCCCCCAACCCAGAGTCCCCCTCGAGTCATGAAAAAATCACGACGGAAGGTTTGTCGTCATTGTTGGGCTGTTCCCCCCAACCCAGACCCATCCTGGAGTCATGAAAGAAATCACGACGAAAGGTTTGTCGCCATTTTCCGGCTCCTCCCTCCAACCCAGACCTCTTTCGAGCTCCTCCTCCTCCTCCTCCTCCTCCTCCTCCTCCTCCTCCTCCTCCCCCCCTCCTCGTCGTCGTCGTCGTTGCCAGGAGCGCGACTTTCTACCCGTCCCGGCGTCGCCGATGCATCGCCTCTCCAGCGCGATCCGCCGACTCCACTCTGGAGGCCTCTGCGAGCGGGACGCTGCGAAGCGGGGGACTCACTCCACCGCCGGGGGGGAAGCGGGAGGTCTGTCGCCGTTTTTTCGGGCCCTCGGGGCCTTCCACGGGCCTGCGAGCGGGACGCTGCGAAGCGGGGGACTCACGCCACCGCCGCGGGGGAAGCGGGAGGTCTGTCGCCGTTTTCTCGGGCCCTCGGGGCCTTCCACGGGCCCAGGGGGCTGCTAGAGAACGGATCAGGACGAACTCCTCCTGCTCCTCCTCCTCCTCCTCCTCCTCCTCCTCCTCCTCCTCCTCCTGCTCCTGCTCCTGCTCCTCCTCCTCCTCCTCCTCCTCCTCCTCCTCCTCCTCCTCCTCCTCCTCCTCCTCCTCCTCCTCCTCCTCCTCCTCCTCCTCCTCTTCCTCTGGGGGAAGGTCCCAGGGTCCAGGACCCGTTTCACTCAGGTCCTGCTCCCCCCGCTCTAAAACACCACCAGGGAGGGCTGCCTCGCGCCGGAGGGGCTCAGCGGCTGGTGTCGGCCTGCTCTGCTCCTGCCCCAGGCCCGCGCAGACGCCTCCCGCGTGGCGGCGCTGGCGGCGAAGGCGGAGCTGCTGCAAAAGCGGGCGCTGGCGGTGCAGGCGCTGGAGACGGATGCAGGGAGGGGTATCCGGGGTCAGCACCAACGTCGGGGGCGGCAAAGAGGGGGGTGATGACTAGGGGGGGGGTGGATATCATGGCGGGGGCCATGATATTTCTCCAGATTTCATGGCGCCTCTTCTTATTTCACTACGTCCCTGCCCCCCCCGCTGGGCCGCGCACATGCCGCCGGTCATGATTTGCACCCCCCTCTTGGACACCCCCCTCTTGGCCGCTCCCGACAACGGGGAGAGCCAATCCCCTCTGCTCCCATTTGGCTGACCCGGGCGTGGGAGCCATGCGGCGCGCTCCAGAAAGGGCCCCGCCTCGGCGGACGGCGGCAGGAGGGCGGCGGAAGGCGGCGGAAGTAAAACGGCGCCCCCACCACAGAAGCCGGCGGAAGGTCGACAGAAGTTGGCGGAAGCAAGCGAAATGTTCCCCAAGGTGGGTCATTCTTTTTTGATTCAGGGGTTCCGGTACCCGCCACGTGGAACCGACCCCCCATCCCTGCCCTCCGTTGACCCATGTCTGGGAGATGCCAGGCGGCCAGCGGGGGTTCGCGACATGGCCTTGGCTGACTCGAACTCGCGCCGACCCAGATCAGCGGGTCCCCGAGGGGAAGGGAGGGCCATAGCAAACAATGCACTTTTTTGTTTTCGGCCAAGTGTCGGGCGTGGAGAGAGCAAATTGACGAATCGAGTCAGGGGTTTTGTGCTTGTCCCCTTGACGTTGGCAGTTGCAGTGTGCCGGGGCATCTAGGTGTGCTTGCTGGATGCACCCGGAAGCATGTGGATGTCGATCGCGTAAATTTTGCGCCCGGGTGCACTCGTAATGCGGTGCCGCGCGCACCCGCGCAGAGCCCCCCGCAGCTTTGCATTTAAGGATGTTTGGTCGGAGGCGGTTCTGCCAATATTGGAGAGACGGTCCAAGATTAGGGGAACAAGAAGTGGCATAAACATAAGAATTCGGAGGTCCGCGCGGATTTCTCGGATCGGCGCTGGACCCCCCTCCCTGGCGCGCGGAGCGCGCCAGGGGTGGCGCCGGAGGCGGCGCTGGGGGACCCCAGCGCCGAGCCGAGAAATCCGCGTGGACCTCCGAGTTTTTATATTTATGCCACTTCTTGTTCCCCTAAGGATGAAGCCTCGACGGCGGTGGGCCCGGGGCCGGGTCTGGGAGCGGTTCGTGGGCAGCCTCCTATGTGGCCGGTGGGAGGCGCGGCAGGCCGAGGGCCCAGAACCCAGACAGCGGCATCGTGTCATCATGGTCGTTGCCTGGCCTCGACGCGTCCCCTCCGACTCGCGGCCCTCCTCCTCCTCCTCCTCCTCCTCCTCCTCCTCCTCCTCCTCCTCCTCCTCCTCCTCTCCTCCTCCTCCTCCTCCTCCTCCTCCTCCTCCTCCTCCTCCTCCTCCACCTCCTCCTCCTCCTCCTCCTCCTTCTCATCCTCCGCCCTCCTCCTCCGGGGGGAAGCATCGACCCTCAAGCACCCATTCATCGCCGACAGGGGCCCGATAGCCCCAGCCTGCCCAGGAGGGTGCGGGTGCACTGTCGGGGCCTATCGCCGATCTATCGGCGATGTGTCGCCGATTCCAGGTCGACGCGTCCCCCCCTATGCCAGTCCCCCCCTTACCGTTGCCCCTCATTGCCTGGGACCAGCTCTGGGCCTGGGGGCCGTCCATCGCCGGCCCGCGGCAGAAATGGCATCTCGGGGACACAGGGGTCGAGAGTGCCGGGGGCCCCCGTCGTGAACAGATCACGGCGTCGGAGGTCTGGAGAAGAAGTTGCCATTGTCGTGGTAGGTTCTGTGCAGGGTTGGTTCCATTCAGAGACGGAGCCCGTGGAGGAGGCGGGGGAGCAGCAGGTGGAGCAGAGTGGAGAAGGATGACGCGCTCTGTGCAGGGTTTGTTTCATTGAGAGACGGGACCCGTGGAGGAGGCGGGGGAGCAGCAGGTGGAGTAGGATGGAGAAGGATGGCACGCTCTGTGCAGGGTTTTGTTTCATGGAGAGACGGGTTCCCTGGAGGAGGCGGAGGAGCAGCAGGTGGCGCAGAGTGGAGAAGGATGGCACGCACGACAGAAGGACCGCAAAGAGGAACTGGAAGTCAGCAGGCGGGATGGCGAGGAGGAAGCGGGAGAGGAGGCGAAGGCCAAGCAGCCCAATCGGGAAGAGGCGACAGGGGATGTGGCGGGGTCATGCGGGTAGAGGCTGGAGAAGGAGATTGAGGAAAAGGAAGGAGGAAGAAGAGGATTTGCCTTTCCCCCCCTCCTGTCCATCCACTTCCCTCTCTCCCCTCGCCCCCTCCCCTACACCGTCCCCCTCCCTCCCATCCCTCTCCGCCCCCTCCCTCCCCGCCCCCTCCCTCCTCCGGCCTCCCAGCCTCTCTCCCAGCCCCGCCCCTCCCCAAACTGTCCTCTCCTTCGGGAACCCCTCGCCTCCTCATCCCACCCCATCCTCCCCCCGCTCTCCCTAGCCCCCCCGAGACCTCCTGAGGCCAAGGAGGAGGACGCCTTCCTGGGGCTCATCGAGCCTGTCGAGCGAGCCACCAGGGCGCAAATCGAGGAGGGCTGGGGGCAACTTGCCGCCATGAGATCTGGGAGCGACTCGGTCAGACGTCACGCCCGGACCACCTGCAACGCACCGAGAAACTATGTGCTCTGATGTTTGCTGTTGCTGTTTTCGGCCCCCCCGGGCCCTTGCTGGGCCCCGGGGCCAGTGGACGCGGCTCGGGGCTTCTGTGGACCCCGCGCACCAAAAAAAAGCAGCGTGCCGTATCTCCGGGAGAGACCCGTGCGGCAGGCTCGCGCCGCAGAGGAACAAAAAAAACGTACACCGTGGCCGTCGGCACGGGCATGCCCAAAAATCCCCCTCCTCCTCCTCCTCCTCCTCCTCCTCCTCCTCCTCCTCCTCCTCCTCCTCCTCCTCCTCCTCCTCCCCCTCCCCCTCCTGCCCCTCCCCCTTCTCCTCCTCCTCCTCCTCCTCCTCCTCCTCCTCCTCCTCCTCCTTCTGCCAGCCGCGCGACAGCGCTCGAGGCAGTGCGGCGGCGACGCCGACGCGGGCAGCAACATCCGGAACGCCCTCGGGGGATATCCGCGCCGCTCTTCGCCAGTCTTCGGGCGGTATAGCTCGGGCCTCGGGCGGCCCTTCGGGCCGAGCTTCCGACATCCCCAAGGCGCCCGCGACGAGGCGCAGCCGATGGGAACCGTTCTGGGTCCCGACAGCCGTCGAGAACACACGAGCGACGCCAGAAAGCGTAAGCTGCCCGCGCAAGGTCGCACGTAGGCGCCCTCATTTCCAGCGCAGCGCGCCACTCCGGCGTCTCGCGTAAGCCGCCGCGTGAGGTCGCTGTGCCCTCTCGCGAAAGTACCCTTTTGGATCGTCGCTGATGCGGAAACTTTTGAACACCCTGAGAAAACCTGCTCTGAACTTCTGCTGGTGCTCCTTGGGCTTATCTCAGGACCTCCTAGGACCAAGACTGCAGAGGGTTCCAAGAGATTCCCAAGAGGCCCCCAAGAGGGCCCCGAGAAGGCTCCAAGAGGGTTCCAAGAAGGCCCCAAACAGTATCATACCATGAGCCTCTGGTATGGTAGCGGGGGGGTCTGTTTGAGGGGCCCTCTTGTGGCCACGTGGGGCTCTTTCGGACCCTCGTCGTCGAGGCCGGGGCTGGGGCCGAAAGCACTGCTGCGTCAAGTCCGGCTGCGGCGGGAAGGGAGGTGATGGGAGGAGGGAGCATCAGAAGTCATATCAGTTCTTGTGTCACAAAGCATCGCCTCGAGCGGCTTAGAAATCCCCGCGGGGTAGGGGCCACCCCGCGCCTGTGCCAACACCCCATAGGGCCTATAGGCCACCGGCGCAAGCGTGGGGGGCGCTGCCCCTCGGGACTTGGCTCTGCGGGGCAGGCCACAGCCAAAAGGGGAAGAAGAGGGAGGGCTGGTGGGTGACTCGCGCGCGGGTCAGGGCAAGCGCGCAGGTGGCCCGCAGGCCAGGGATGGGCTCCGCTGCAGGGCGCGGGGAGCGCGTTGGTGGGGGGGTGCAGGCGATGCCGCCCCCACAGCCGCCGTTGTACCTGCCGCCCATGGCGGGGCGCGGGAGCGGCATTGGGCACCTAGGCCTAGGGGGGGGAGGGAGAGAGGGAGCAGGGAGGGAGGGAGGGGATGGAGCGCGGGAGGGGGAGGAGGAGGAGGAAGATGAGAAGGAGGCGGAGGAGGAGGAGGAGGAGAAGGAGGATGAGGAGGAGGAGGAGGAGCAACAGCAGCAGCAGCAGCAGCAGCAGCAGCAGCAGCAGCAGCAGCAGCAGGGAGATGAAGAGGGGAGGAGGAGGAGGAGGAGGAGGAGGAGGAGGAGGAGGAGGAGGAGGAGGAGGAGGAAGAGGAGGAGGAGGAGGAGGAGGAGGAGGAGGAGGAGGAGCATCAGGGGAAGAGGAGGGGAGGAGGAAGCATGGGGGCGAGGAGGAGGGAGCGGGAGGGAGGGAGGTGTGGAGGAGGGAGGGGAGGCGGAGGAGGAGGAAGAGGAGGGAAGAAGGAGGGAGGAGGAGGAGGAGGAGGAGGAGGAGGGGGAGGAGGAGGGAGGGGAGGGAGGGAGGTGGAGGAGGATGGATGAGAGGGAGGAGGCGGGAGGGAGGAGGAGGAGGAGGAGGAGGAGGAGGAGGAGGAGGAGGAGGAGGAGGAGGATAAGGAGGATAAGGAGGAGGAGGAGAGGAGGAGGAGGAGGAGGAGGGAGGAGGAGGAGGAAGAGGAGGGAGTGGGCAGAATTGGTAACGAGGGAGGGGAAGGAAGGGGAGAGGAGGGAGAGAAAGATGCTGGACGAGAGTACCGCGGAAGAGGATGAGGGAGGAGGGGAGTGGAGGAGTAGGAGGAGGAGGAGTGTAAGGAGGAGGACGGGGTAGGGGGAGGAGGGAGAAGGGAGATGAGAGTGGGCAGAGGATGGCGCAAGGAAGAAGGAGAAGGAGAGGGGTCGAGACATGTTTTGTTTCGGCGCGGTGATTTGGGGCAAGACGTGGTCGCCTAACTAAGAACGCCCATCCGACTTCATTAGTTAGCGCATCCTCGCTGGGGCAGGTTTCAGAGGAAGGAAGAGCGGTCGCGGAGGGAGATAGAAGGTGTGAAGGTTCGGCGCATCTTCTGGATGTGCGAGCGTCTCTTGGTGACCACCCTGTGTCGGCTTATCGCCGCGATTAGCCCACCCAGCGACTTATGCCCATGGACGGCCTCTATTGCGCTGTGCTGGGCGGCGCTGAGCGCCTGGCAGCGGCTGGCGGATGCAAGACTCCGACCGGTCACCTTGCAAGGCGCGGCCCTCCTGCTGCGCGTTTCCCCGGCCGGGGCGTGCGCGCGAGCGCCACAGACGAGGCACAGAACAACTGAGCACGCACATACACATGCACTGTGTAAGCGGTAGCGGCCTCGCGCGCGGCGGCGGGGCGGAGTAAGCAAAAGCACAGCACGCGCAGTCGCGGCCGGAACACACACACACATACACACACACACACACACACGCATGCACTGTGTGAGCGGTAGCGGCCTCGCGCGCGGCGGCGGGGCGGAGTAAGCAAAAGCACTGCACGCGCAGTCGCGGCCCGAACAGACACACACACACACACACACACACGCACACGCACACGCACACGCACACGCACACGCACACGCACACGCACACGCACACGCACACGCACACGCACACGCACGCGCACACGCGCACACGCGCACACGCGCACACGCGCACACGCGCACACGCGCACACGCGCACACGCGCACACGCGCACACGCGCACACGCGCACACGCGCACACGCGCACACGCGCACACGCGCACACGCGCACACGCGCACACGCGCACACGCGCACACGCGCACACGCGCACACGCGCACACGCGCACACGCGCACACGCGCACACGCGCACACGCGCACACGCGCACACGCGCACACACGCGCACACGCGCACACGCGCACACGCGCACACGCGCACACGCGCACACGCGCACACGCGCACACGCGCACACGCGCACACGCGCACACGCGCACACGCGCACACGCGCACACGCGCACACGCGCACACGCGCACACGCGCGCACACGCGCACACGCGCACACGCGCACACGCGCACACGCGCACACGCGCACACGCGCACACGCGCACACGCGCACACGCGCACACGCGCACACGCGCACACGCGCACACGCGCACACGCGCACACGCGCACACGCGCACACGCGCACACGCGCACACGCGCACACGCGCACACGCGCGCACACGCGCACACGCGCACGCGCACACGCGCACACGCGCACACGCGCACACGCGCACACGCGCACACGCGCACACGCGCACACGCGCACACGCGCACACGCGCACACGCGCACACGCGCACACGCGCACACGCGCACACGCGCACACGCGCACACGCGCACACGCGCACACGCGCACACGCGCACACGCGCACACGCGCACACGCGCACACGCGCACACGCACACGCACACGCACACGCACACGCGCACACGCACACACGCACACACGCACACACGCACACACGCACACACGCACACACGCACACACGCACACACGCACACACGCACACACGCACACACGCACACACTCACACACACACACACACACACACACACACACACGCATGCACTGTGTGAGCGGTAGCGGCCTCGCGCGCGGCGGCGGGGCGGAGTAAGCAAAAGCACTGCACGCGCAGTCGCGGCCCGAACACCCACACACACACACACATGAAGTTGCGCCCGCCTGTGATGCTTAGAAGCCCGCGCGGCGTGCCCCGGCTGGGCGGGCCGTGCGAGGGACCGCGCGCCTCACGCGAGGGAGAAAGGAATGGAAACGGAGAGGAAGGGAGGAGGAGGAGGAGGAGGAGGAGGAGGAGGAAGAGGAGGAGGAGGAGGAGGGGGCACGGAGGGAGGCCCTTCTGTCTCCGACTTCCAGCCCGCTTCCCCTCGCCCTCGTCACCCTCGCCCCGCCGCTGCGGAACCACCTGCGCTCCTCCGCCTCGGTCCCCCGAGCAGTGCTTGCACTCAGGGGCTCCTGCTCGCCATGCTGACGGAATTGGACGGGTCCGCCGAGGATGTGCCACGTTCGCGCTTGTGCCGCCTCGCGTACGCTCGTGGACGCCCCGTGCGCTCTGTGGGTCCGCCAGGGTTTCGCCACGATCTCGCCCGTGCCGCCTCGTGGGCGCTCGTTGGCGACCCGTGCCCCGGGTGGGTAACACAGCGATTCATGCATGCCTCGCCCAACATAGGCACAGAGGCATCACCGCATAGCGTGCAAAACATTGTTCGCACCAGATCTTCAATATACGCAGCATGGCTTACGCCACACAGGTCTCACCTCCACGATACAATAACGGACTGCTTTGTGTCGACATGAGCTAACTTATCCATGTGTAGATCCTCATAACGTTAGTCTCCCTCCTCACATCGCCCCGCAGCTCTGTACTTTCTTGCGCTGTTCCGTATCAATGCTCTTACGGTTCTTGATCTTCTTATTCGTCGTCGTCGTTGTCGCCCAACGCCCCCTCGAAGGGAATGCTTCCTTGCGCAGCCACTGCTGCCGATCTTTGGCTGGGCCTTGAGGCTGGCAGCGAGTGCCTGCCGCCCAGGCAGCCGGCACACCGGCGCGGTTCCCTGGCGGGAGGCGTAGGACCATCGTCTTCCAGAAAGTCCAGGAGGAGGAGGCGAGGAGGAGGAGGAGGAAGAGCAGGAGGAGCAGGAGGAGGAGGAGGAAGAGCAGGAGGGGCAGGAGCAGCAGGATGAGGAGGCGGAGGAGGAGGAGGAGGAGAAGGAGGAGGAGTGGAGGGTGTGGCCTCTCGCCCTCGGCGGAGGGCCAGCGGAGGCCAGCGGCAGGAACACCGCGGCCCCCAGCGAGAGGTCAGCCCGAGCGCACCGGGGGCTTGGGGTTACGTCGGGCGTGTCCCTCTCAGGAGGAGGATTGGAAAATTGTCAAACAATAGTCTGGGGACTATGTTTAAAATACTGTTTCCAAAATCCGCCTGTAGGAGGACATGCCCGACCTAAGCTCAGGAGTCGGCCACACAGTCCGACCCCAGATCGTTCGCATGCTGGCTCGTGGGGCTCTCCCCTCGTGGGCCATAGCCCGACTGGGTCGGGTCCCCTTGGCCCCCGCGTCGCCCCAGGCTCGCTCGGTCATCTGACCCCTGAGGGGCCCACGCGTGGGTCTGGTGCAGCGCGATCCTGTTGTGCCAGGCATGCAGCGGGGTCAAGCGCCAGAGCTTCCTCCACTCCGCATGTGATCGGGAGTGGTCGCTGCGGTAGCGGAGTCCCACTTCTTGTTGCCCCAGTGAGGCTTCTGGCTTCTGCACGGGGCTTATATGCATGGTCTCAGCATGCTTTACACTGGACAGCCGTCTCGGAGTTCAGACTTTAGCAGCCCATCGTTTCGTGCAAGACCACCACACGATGGTCGAGGAGGTGATGGCGGAGGTATTTCACTCTGACCTGGACTTATACGCCTAACAGCGTCAGGCATACACACTTGTGCAAGCAGCTCGTCCTCATCCGCCCTCATCGTCCATGCGTCCCATCCGAGCCGCAGCGGTAAGGAGGACGAGCAGCAGTAGCAGGCTCGAGGAGGAGGAGGAGGAGGAGGAGGAGGAGGAGGAGGAGGAGGAGGACCCCCTCCCCCTCCTGCTTGTGGTGGTGGCTGTGGAGAAAAAACAGGCCGACCGAGAGATTCTCGATTTGCCCCCGCCCGCGTTCGTCCTCATCCGGCCTTCGCCCTGCCGAGGCCCTGAGCTCCCCTCGCCCTGCGTGCGCTCGCCCCTGCTGCGGGGCCCCATCCGGGCGGGCGCCCGCTCGGCCGCCTCCCCCCGCGCGCGCGGGGAGGCGCACGTGGCGCCCCGCTTCCGCGAGCTGTCCTTCTCGTGAGCCGCCAGCGCGGCCCGGCGCGGCGGGGGCTCCCGGGGCGAGGGCGCGCTAAGAGGCGCCTTCCTCCGAGGCGGGAGTTTCTACACGACCACCGCCTGGAGGGTCAGTTTTCGGAGCCTCGTCACGCTGTGGTTATGGACATATTCGGGCCCCCAGGGGCCGAAGTATGTCCATAGCCACCGCCCGCTGGGGCACCAGGGCGTCGGCTCCCAGGCGGTGGATCTGGATCAATTCCCTCCTCGCGCTTCAGGCCTCGGAAGAAATAGGCGAACTTTCCTGCCCCATTCAGGCGCCTGTGCCTCAGTGGCTAACTGAATGCCTCAGCGTCCATTCACGCGCCTCGGAAGAAATTAGTGAACTTTAATGCCCTGACTTAAGACCTTTGCTAACTTAATGCTAAGATTAAGTCGGGCCTGTCCCCCTACAGGGGGGAATTTTAAAAATCGTCAAAAGATACTCTGGGGACGATTTTTTGACCATTCTTGCACATTGTTTAGAGCATACTTTCTTGGTCTTGTTAATTGTTCGTCCAACATCCCCCTGTAGGGGGACACGCCCGACGTAATGCTAAGAGTTGGCACCTGGAGGCGCGGAGGCCACGTTCATCTGTCGACGGCCCCCCCCTCAATGATCCATGTTGGCGGTGGGTTGACTGAGTTGCCTTTCGACCGCAGTCTTCCCCGCGCGAGCCGACTTTGAGTTTGGGGGAGGGGGAGTGCCCACTGGTTGTCTCCCTCTACCGCTGCGCGCGCACGAGCGATTGACATGTTCAATGCCTTCCTCTCGCAGTCTGGGCAATGAGGCGCGATGCCATGGATACCCGATCCTGTGGGCACGTTCCGCGTGTGAGGGCATCCACGCAGAGCCGCCGTGCCTCAGCGGGGTCGCGGCCGGGGAGTCCGCACCGTGCGGGTGCCCTTCCTCGAGTGGGCAGGTACACGAACACGCTTTTTTGATCTGCGGGGCGAGAGCGAGCCTCTTCCGCTAAAAGCTAGGCGGGCTACGCACAGCTTTAATTAGGAAGGCAGGGCACGGGAAGGCGGGGCCTCAGGCGGCCGAGGGCGGGCGAGGCCCGAATACAGGTACACGAACACGCGCACACACATCTCGCATTCCGCGCGGGTGTCCTGGGTCAGCGCTGCACCCCCGGCCGATACCCCTCGGGCGCCGCCCACCGCCCGCTCCGCGCGCAGGGGAGGGGGGGGGGTCCAGCGGCGACCCGAGTGTTTATAGATGCGATTGTTCATTCATCCGTTGGCGCTCGTCGCCCTTGCGCGCCGCTTGCCTGGTCGCAGTGACAGTCTGGAGTGTTGTGCGGGAGTTCAGCGGCCATCTTTCAGAGCCCCTGAACCACAGTCACCTCCATGTGAACCGGCCACGCCCACGCCCACCCGAATTTGAGCTCGGGTCTCGCTCTCCTCCCTCATCTGACGAGGCACGTACTGAATCAGCGGTCGCACACCAGGGGTAAATACACTGCTCGAGCGCAGCACCGACCTCGGCGGCTTCTCACCACACGGGTACCACGCAGATGTATGGTTCTTCCCCCGCAACGCTGCTTGCATTGCGGCTTGCGTCTCGGTTCCTGATTCTGTGCTGCGGTGCATTCCCTTGTTTCCGCCCGGTGCCCACCCCGTGCCCGCTCCGCACGTTGTCTGGGTTCCCCGGCTGGGCTCTCCGAGTCTTCACCTGGTGCATGCCCGTGCTCACCCCAGGCTCGCTCTGTGCGATGGCTTTGTGCCCCAGGGTGGCCGCCCTTGCCCGTCTCGTGCCCGCCCCATGCGCTTGCTGGCATTTGGGTTTTAGTTCTGGTGACCGCCCCTGCCAGCTCGTTCGGCGATGGTTCGCCGTCTGAAATCTTATGCTGCCAGCAAGTTGTCAGATTCCTACGCGCGCGCACTCTCACTGAAATCATAAGAAGCCAGACTGTAGGTTTTGGCAGTTCTGCCACCCGAGAACATGCGGGTCACATGGGCGCGCACATCAAAAAGATTCAGCAATCACCGAGCACCCGTCAGCTCTGTCAAGTAATATGATGGAGGCTAAAGATTCACGTCTCCGCGCGCACCTCAAAACCCGTTAACAACCATAGGCGTTCTAAGCACTTGAATCCAGAGGTGTTCAAGCGCATACGGAACCCTAGTTGTTTTCAATTGGCACATACTTGAAATGCAGAGCTTCTACGCGTGTGGATTTCATCACTCTCATCAGCACCATCGTTATCATCACAATCCGCATCATCATAATCCTCCTCTTCATCGTCATCACCACCATCATCACCACCATCAGCATCGTCGTCGTCATCACCACCCACACCATCACCTCCGCCGTCGTTATAATCACCATCAGCAGCAGCATCATTATCACCATCATCACCATCATCGTCAGCGTCATCATTGCCATCGCCAGCACCAGAATCATCATCACAAATCATCACATTCGATGCCGCCGTCGCCACCTCTACCGTCATCATCGTCATCGCCGAGGCTGTCGCATTCGCCCCATGTTTGCGCGCGCACGTTCTCCTCATCCTCACCAACTCCACCATCATCTTCACCGCCATCGCAACCATTGCCACCATCAGTAGCACTACCATCAGCTTGATCACCCTGGCCATCGTTGTCGCTGACATCATCCCCACCGTTATCGTGCGCATCACCGATGTCATCGGTATCTCCGTTGCCGCACCACAGACGAGCTTTGCCGGCAACTTGCGGGGAAGGGGGATGGGATGCTTGTGCGAATATCGGGTGCTGTCAGGCGCGGAAGCGTTCTGAATGAGTTGCACCACATATATTGCACGTCTCAGCTTGCACCACAACGCCAGAACCACACAGTTTGCGCTCACTACATGCATGGCATACCGACAGTTGTACGGCATATGCTGCATCACACCAGTTAGCACTCGGGAAGCAGGCTCGAGGCCATGTGCCAGCAGCCCTCCATGGGCGCGGGAGTGGACTCCCGCACGCCTCTCTCTCTCTCTCTCTCTGGATTGCTTCGCACAACGTGTGCATCACCGAATTTGCCACATAAATTGTACCTCATTGCTTAGACCATAGGTCGTGCACATCGGGAATGCAACAACTCACTGTTCAGGGTCCATGCCGGCAATACTTTCATTGATTGCGCGGTCTTCTTCTTGGGAGCGCCAGCTGGACTTGCGGGGGTCTTCCAAAATCAAAGGATCGCTCTCCTCCTTGCCCTCCTCCTCGCCTTCCTCGCCCTCAGGGCGAGCATGGCGGGGAGGGACGTTGGATCAGAGAGCCTGCCGAGGCGCACATTGCAATTTTGTAAGTGCGAGCGTCGCGCGCGCGGCGAGGCTGGCGCGGTGCACCACCTGCTCAGCCTGCCCCTGAGAGGTGCGCCTGCCGCTGCAGACTGGCAGTGGTCCTGCCCCTTCGCTGCGAGAGTCGTGGCTGCGAGTACGATAGCAGGATGCGGTTCGCCTGATCGCCCACCCCTCCCAGGATCGCGCGGTTCCGCTATCGAGGGCTTGTCGCCGATGCATCGGCGATGTACTGCCGACTGCAGGACGGCGTGTTCGCGCCCCCCCGCGCGGGCGGTGCGCCTGTGGGCGGGCGGAGGGGCGCGTGATTCGTGGCGGGGGGCTTGGGCTCGACATTCAAGAATGTTCAATTGATGTGCCTTGCTCCAGCATGTAAGGTAGTGGTTCAGAATGTTTCTGCTACAGCGAGTCTTGACTTTTCCTTCCGAACAATTCATAGCCCCCGGGCTCATTATTCTGGAAAGATAATCATGGACGAGGCGGGGGGGCAGATCGCTGTCGTCTTGAAGGCTATGGACAGCGGTTCATAATTAGGGGTTCGTGCTGGCATGATCGTTCCTCTACGCAATGAAGCGGCTCATGAATGCACAATGGTATGTTGCGTTCTGTGATCTGATGTTAGTGTTCCCCGTAGCCCAGGACTGTCCACTGAGAACTGATCGGGGCTTGACATTCCCAAAGGACGATTGTATTGCGGCCCATCCGTCTGGAACGGTCATGTTGGAGGTCCATGGGGGAGGAGGAGGAGGAGGAGGAGGAGGAGGAGGAGGCGGACGAAGGAGGAGGAGGAGGGGAGATGGAGGAGGAGAAGGAGGAGGAGGCGGAGGAGGAGTGGGAGGAGGAGCAGGAGGGGCAGGAGGAGGAGGGATGAGGAGGAGGAGGAGGAGGAGGTGAAGGTTCTCACGGTGCGTTCTGTACTTCTCGACCTCGGTTACTCGAGAGGCCTGCGCCACCCCGCCGACGCCCCGGTGAATGCGCTAAGAGCAGGAGCCACCGTGCCCAGCCTGTAAGTCGGGCGCCTCGGGAACGCACCTGAGGTTAAGTCGGGCCTGTCCCTCTGCAGGAGGGGTATTCAAAAATAGTTAAAAAAGTCTGGGGACTGTTTGTTGACTATTGTTGAGCAGTTAGGGGGTATGTTTGGAGTATGTTTGATTTTCCGCCCAGCATCCCCATGTAGGGGGACAGGCCCGACTTAAATTTCAGGGTCTCTTGGGGTGCTTCCAGGGGCCGTGTGGAGCAGGTCTCCTGGGGGCATCTGCTTGGCTTTCGGGGGCCTCTCGGGGGCCTCTCGGGTGCTTCTTGGAAGCCTCTTGGGAGCGCCTCGGGGTCACTGGGGGGCTCTTGGAGCCATAATGGCGGGAAAGACTCGAGATGAGGATTGTTTTGAACCCTCTGGCGGGTGACACTCGTTACCCGGGCCAGCCCCCCCCCGGGTAACGGTAACGATCGTATTTGGGGGAGGTCTGGACCTTTCCCCGATTTGCAGGTACCCGAGGGCATGTTGTGTTGTTCACAGGTACATTGCGGTTCTCACGCGTCGCTGTGGCACATGCAGACTCTTTGGTGGTGCTCGAGCACGCGTTGCACTGCTCCCGTGTGCGATTATGACAGGGCCTGGCGTGTTGCTGTACATACGCGTGGTGCTCGCAGGCATTGTAGTGTTCGCGGGCACGCTGCGCCGTGCAGTAGGTGAATGTGATGTCCGCGCGAGAGGTGGAGGGGCAAGAGGACGAAGAGGACGGCGACGACGAAGAAGGACGAGGGAGGTAAGGAACAGCACGGTTGAGGTAAGGGTCCGACACGGCAAGCCGTTGCAAGCGCAGTGGCGGATTGTATCTTGTCGCCGCCGCGGACGCCGACGCCAGCGTCGTCAATTTCGTCGTCCGGCGTCGTCGCCGCCGCCGCCGTTGCCACAGCCCTGCCGTTCGTCGTCGTCGTCGTCGTCGTCGTCGTCGTCGTCCGTCGTCGTCGTCGTCGTCGTCGTCGTCGTCGTCGTCGTCGTCGTCGTCGTCGTCGTCGGTTGCCTTGTTCATCACCGACCTCCGCCTGCTCTACGTT